CAGGTCTCCCCAGAACCATCATTGTCGACGCTGGGAGAGTCGGGCGGAGGAACGATCACACCAACCACGATCTGATGTGTGTGGCCGATACCCTTAGTAACCAGACCAGGGTTTAGCAAGGAGAGCTGACCGACCGCAGAGTTGAACCCATCCTCCAGGGCACCGACGCAATCTGCCTCGAGGAGCCGGATATGGGCGACAAGCTCCAACCGACTCTTCAAAGCCAATATGTCCTCGGTCTCGTCCTCGGCAGGTTGCATGGAAGCGTTCATTTCCTCGATCTGCTGGGCCAAGCGTCCGACTTCGGCCCCCAGACGATCCCTGTCTGCCCGGAGAAGCTCCCCCTCCTCGGCCAACTTCCCCGACTTCTCCTTCTCCAGGGTCAACATCTCCCTCTCAGCATCGAGCATCGTCGTCTGCTCGCGGAACATCTCCTCGGAGCGTTCCAGAGCGATCTTCAACTTCCGCGAGCTCGAGGTCAGGGCCGCCTTCTCCTGCTCGAGTTCTTCGATACGGGCAGGATCCCCTCCTTCCTCGGATAGCACCAAATCCATCTCGGCCATTTTTACCAGCCCGTCCATGTTGGCGGCCAGATGCGTCTTCCGGGCCTCTTTACTCATCTTTTTTATAGCTGCAGCCTCGTCGGCAACCACTGTCAGAGGGAATCTCTCGAAGAAGCCCGCCTCTTCGAAGCAAGGGGGGAAGGCGAAAGATTTAACGGCACCGGCGTCCTCGCCAACAGTCAGACCACTTTCCACACGGGTCCTCTTCCTCTGTATCAGGACGGCACTAGGGTCGACCTCTTCAACTTCTGAGGTCCCATCCGACGCGGCCCCGGAGCTTGACGGCGAGTCCACCCTGACCGGCTGAGGAGCACTTGGACTGTGTGGTGGGCCCATCCTCGTCGCCTGTGGGGCCTTCACGACCCTCCTGCCTCGCTTCTGGTCGCAAGATAATTTCAAAAGCCTTTCATGTCGACCAGCCATCGAACCTGCACAAAATAAAAGTTGGGTCAGTATCGAGCAAACTCATAAATAAATGACGAGCAAAGAAATTCAAGCAATAAACGACCTAGCAGACGGGCAGCCTGCCTGTACGTCTCGCACTCCACGAGTGCCTTGGTGTCAATCGGCCGGGACTCAAACGTTGGGTAACCCTCTGCGTCCAGGATGTCGTCCCCTTCCCTCGTAGCCCACCGGGCAGGATGGAAGCTATCGACAAACCGACAAAGGGCGGCGTACGCCTCCTCGTCCTCCGAGCACATGTCTCCGACGGCAGTGTGGTAGTAACCAGTCCCATGCTCGTAGTGCCTGGATAGCCAGTGCACAGGGAACTTAGCCGTACGTGCCATCACGGGACTCCCATCGTCGCCCAAAACCGCCTCCCCGTCTTCATCGCTTAGAGCCTCCTCCTCCTCGTACAGGGTTTCTAAAGCCGAGGTGGTAACTGGCCGTACAACGTACCACTTGTCTTTAAAACCCCGTACGGAGTCCATATACATTTTGAAGAGTCTCCTCGACTGCTTCAAGGAGACCCAGCTGTGTTTCCCTCCTCGGGACTGGCGCTGCAGATGAAAAATCCGGAAGAAGAGCGGTATGGTCGCCCCGATCCTCAGATAGCGACACGTCAGCTCAAACGCCCGGATGAAGGCGAGTGAGTTTGGATGTAGCTGGGACGGGGCCAACTCCAGGTGAGTGAAGACCCCGACCTGGAAATCAGTGAAGGGCAGCCGCAACCCAAGGTCTTTGAACGCGATCTCGTACATCGCGAAACTATATTCTGGATACACCGAACAGATCCTTGAACGGGAAGACGGGCGCATGACTACGAAGTTCTTTCGGAAGTCGGGCTGGCCCTGGCCCGCTTCGATTACAGCGTACGGATTTCGGTCGCCCCGACTGTAGACCGACGCGATCCCCCGGGGCTCGACGCCCACCCATTCCAGCAAAGGGTCGGTCACAGTATCAATCAGGTTGACCAACTCATCGGCGCTTTGTTCTTCACGATCGTGGCGCCCGGAGGAGCTCGGCTCGTCCGCCATGGTTACCTGCAGAGCACGGGAAACCAGTCAATTGGGCACGAAGTCATACTCTCGACAAATCACGACGTCCCATTCACGACCACATAGTCCGTTTCCGCGAATGGTTGCCTCCCCGACATCCTGAAACTCGATGTGCTCTTCCTCAAACCAATTACGCGGTCACTCTCCAACATGTCGACCCAAGGTATGAATATGGCGAGCCACACCATGAGGCCCACGGCCAAGACCATGAACATATCGGGCGCGATCATGAATCAGGCGCCCTGGGTCATGAAGACCCCGGGCAGCGCCGAAGTTTATCACCTAAAACTATGAATACGCCGACCACGAACATGCGTTTGCCGGTCCTAGGCATGAATACGTCGGGCTAAGTATGAGTTTACCGGGCTAATCCCACGCGCACAGTCCCTAAAGCATCTACAAACGCCAGAAATCATGCATTTTAACAGGAAAATGAAGAAGATAGACCACTTACTTGAATCAAAAAGAAGGATTTGGCTACGGAGTAGAAGAATCGGTGACAGAAAGTCGCAACTGGAGAAGATCTGGAAGAGCAGTAGCAGAGAGAGCACAGAGAATAGAAACGTGTTATGGGGCCCAAGGTTCCTATTTATAGTGATGACGTGGAACACCAAACGTCACCTCGGGCAACCACGGACTCCCTCTCCTCGACGCGCTGCTCCCAACGCAATGATGACCCTATCCCCATAGGGTGGCTGCACAGTTCCCGAAAGATACCTCGTATGCTCGACAGACGCGCCCGGTAAGGATCCTCCAGGCATCCACCGCGGAAGATGTCCCCGAGCACGACACGAGGAGGCCCTCGAGGGCCCACACCTCTGTCCTGGGCACGAGACCTCGATGAGGAAGCGACCTGAGTTCAAGTCATGGCTCCTCACAAAGGAACCACGACTTGGGGGGCTCCTGTTCTGGACTGGGCCCGACAGGCCCAAGAGCATTGCAAAGGCCCAGTCTAAATGGACTTACAAGGGCCACGCCGACCAAAGAGTGAGACTGTGCCCGACGCGCAGTCGCTGGCTCGACGATACGCCTCCAGCTCGACATGAGGTGGTCCAGCACCACAGTCTGAGGTCCAGCTCGACGTTACCTCGAGCACCCCAGCTAGGGCAGACTCAGTCCACTGTTCCCCAACGATACTCCGAAAAGACCGCGTCTCCGTCCGCCCGCACTTCACGCAGAACATCCAGGAAGGGGACCACGTGCGGGTCCCCACTACGCACGTAGAACCTGGCAGTTCCTCCATTGGGCCAAACCTGCCCGGCCCAATGAAAGAACCTTGACCCAGCGCTGGGGGCTATAAATACCCTCTGCTTCCAGAGGGTTAGATTTTCATCATTCTAACCTTACACTTGCTATTATCTGCTCGTACTCCTACTTACTTCAGCATCGGAGTGCCTTGCAGGTACCCCCCACCTCGTTCAAAAAAGCTTTCTGCTCGGAGCCAGCCGTGACGGTCCATTTCTGATCAGGTCAGATCAGAAACAATTATGAAATACTTGGCAGTACAACCAACTTCAATGATCAAGAAAGAGCTTTTGGTTTTAAACCCATTGGTTCTTCGAGAAATGACTATGATGGTATCATTAAGGTAAGGTTAATTAATTGAAGCATCGCATGTCCCATCGCACATGAATCGCATGAAAACATGGAGTCACCATCTTGAAATTTTTACTCACATACCATATTTTTACCAACTAATTTTTAAATATCATTCTTTTCAATTTATATTTCTAATATATCACCTTTAAAAAAAATTGAAATGAGAAGACTCCGCCCAATAGATAGTTGAATGGTCTTTATTTTATACAGTTTCCGCCTATTGCATTAACGGAGCTGTTTAAATAACGTTTTTTATTTTAATTTAGAAACTAAAAAAAAATTACGTTTACACTCTTCCGCCCATCCAATGGGCGGACCGTCTATAATATTTAAAGCTTCCGCTCAATGCTTCAGCGGAATGAAAAAAAATTTACAGTACTCCACCATTCAATTGGCGGATGTGTTGTGACAAAAAAAAAATTTGTTTGAAAAGAGAGTAAATTGAGATTATTGAATAAAGAAGATAGTATATTGAGATTTAATGTGTAAAAAAGATGTAGGACAATAAAAAAATTCCACCATCTTTATCTCGAAGCAGATGTTGCGATCTCCCGAAATCTCATAAAAGTACATGAAAATAATTAAGCACTTATTATATATACTATTTCTACTTCAAAAGTATGAGTTCTGAAAATTTTGTAGAAATAAATTGGAAATAAAACAGATTATGATTCATGAAAGTGATTTTCTTGGAAATCGCTTTTTTGATATTTGTAAAAAATTAATTTTTTATTTTTGGAAAATTTAACTTTTTTTTTATTTTCGAAAAAGTAGCTTTTTTTTTTAAAAGTCAACTTTTTTAATTTTAAGAAAAACGATTTTTATTTTTTTTTAGAAAAGAATAAATTCAATTTTAAAATTAACAACGATTTAGTTCGAGATTAATTTGAGATTGTTTAATTATTTAACAGTTTAATTCTAAAACCATTAATAAAATATAAATTTGAAAATAATAATAATTTAATTATTTTAATTTCAGTTCATTTTAATTCGGCAGTTCAATAATAAATAATTGAAGGAGAAAACTGTTGTTTAGTTTATAAACAGTGTTATGGTAAAAATATATAGTTATTTTGTTTATATAATTAAAAATAATAAAATAATAAAAAATATTGAGTAAAATCCATTTAAAGAAATGAAATGATTTTTAATAAATAAAAAAGAAAAATATTTCGTTTGTATAATCTACTCTATTACTACCACTTAGTCTCCAAAACTTCCAACTTCTTTTTTGTCACTCCAATCCAATGCGTTTTATATGTGTGCAATGGTTATTGTTATCCATTTGTTTTGAGCGTTAATTTACAGTTTCAGGAATATTGACGATGTCGACAAAACCATGGATGAGATAAATGAACAGACTAAGAACATGAAGCAAATTCAAGAAGCATTATCAACTCCAATTGGTGCAGCAGCTGATTTTGATGAGGTAATTCTCTCTAATATGAGACATAGGCACAATTGGTTGAACTCTGTGATCAAATATCATGTGTTCTTTGTTTGTGTTTTCTCCGTATGTGTTTGCTTTTGAACCGGGGTTGTAATTCTAACAATGAGGCATTTTGAATTTATTGTCCTTTTCAGGATGAACTAGAAGCAGAACTTGAAGAATTGGAGAGTGCTGAGTTGGAAGAACAGCTTCTCCAGCCAGCAACTATAGCTCTTGCTGCCACATCATACCTCTCAGCTGGGCGGCAACCTACACGCCCTGTTCCTGCAAAGCTAAATCCTGAGGAAGATGAATGGGAAGCTTTGCAGGCTAAGATGGCACTTTGATCGTGTACCTTTTCTCGTCTTTGACACCAAGTATGTAAAGTGAAAAGTATGTTCCCTAAATCCTCGAGTTAAATACTCAGAACTCACACTATAATATATTTTCTGAACATACTTTTTTCTGATATGTAACATATGTTATCAGGTGGTAAGGATTTAGTTTAATGCGCTAATATTGTTTTCAACTAAGATCCAAACCTTGAAATCTTCAAATCCTATATGCACCCTCTCAGCTAATTCTAAGACATTATGTTTACTTCAATAATGTTGTGATATTGATATTTATTATAATTGATTTATTGAGAAATTGAAAACCAGAGACTGTGCGTTAGAACCATTAGCAAGAGTAATATTGTGAGATATTTTAGAAGTTGATAAATTAGAGATAAGAGACAGATTACCAACTACACAATCAGATGCAACATAATCTAAAATCCATGATCTCGTACAAATGAGATAGAAAAGCCATAGAATTACTAACATAAACTAGAGTGTTTGGAGATGAAGCATGTTGTACATTCATTAAGCTACTAACCAAAGTTACTGTTGAATGATGTCGGAAGACAAATTTGCAACAACCAAGATAAAACACAGCTGAAGTGGTTGGTTATAGTGACCAGATAATGGCCAAAAAGTATGAAGTGTGACAAAAATGGTGAATACAAGATCACCAATGTGAGATGAACCCCCAAACCATCACATACTCCAAAGAAAAACATAGGCAATAATGGCTATAATGTCTCACAACACCGTTTCTCAACAACCACATAAACCATGCCTTGATTTTTCTTTATGAAAAGGGAAGAAAATGAGAACATTATAGCATTGCGGTATCCTCGTATGGATCTCTTATTTTTTGTATTTGATTTTACATCATAATGTGATAACGAGAAATTGCTGCAGAAGAATTCACCTGATTATTTGGAGACACACTTGCTCTCCTTTGAATTATACATGAGAAAACAAAATATTTTGCTAGCCTTCCAAGTATTAACCCGTTAAAACGAGGTGCCTAGATATTGGTCCGACATCTTATCTCTGGCTTATAGTAATTCATTAAGGTTACTTTCTTAGACGTTAAAGCTAAGAGTTCAAGGGGCTCTATATTGTTACTTTATATTACATTTTGACAGTTTAGAATATATGTCGGTCATTCAAGTATTATTCTTTGTCTTTATATTTGTAGGTGTTGGAACAGGTCTTGATGGTAACTTTCCCACATGTTTGTAATGTTCAATCTCTATTCAAATATAGTGTTTGGCAGTAGAAGTTTTGTTGGAATGGTTAGTTTTCTTTCATGTAACCCATTGATTATAACGCTGGAGTCGTAAATAACTTTCATCTGTTTGACAAGATCAAAAACTATTCCGGAAGTGTTGTAGGTTGTAACTAAAGAAATACAAGAGATGGTTGACTTTTGTGCTGCAACCGGGGTTCACCCAGTTATAAAATTGATTACAGTCAGGTACTTGAACGAAGCTCTTGAAAGGGTTATAAATAAGGACGTGCAATATCGATTCAAAATAGATATTGAAAACTCTCTTAAGTTGAATTAGAGAAGTATGATGTTGAATCTAAAACTAGATAAGAAATGACTACCTTATTACATTTCAGAAGCCAAGAGAGATGTTCAGTATTCCATAATAATTGACTAAATATGTAAATGACTCAAATTTCATATATCTAGCAATGCAAATAAAGCTCTTGAGAGAGAGAGAGAGAGTCATAAATAGGGTGATTAAGTATCAGTATGTAGAACATAATAAAAAAAATTTGTTTCAAAAAAATTATTAGCTCAGTTTCCAGAACAAACTAAAGAAGGCTTTAGATGCAACATCTCAAAGATCCTTTATAGAGATATTTAGGCTATAGTAGATATTGTCATCTTAATAAAATAAGCATGTTACCATAAAAAGTTGGTAAATACATGTGGATCCACTAACAGGGTTTCTTTTGCTTTCTACTATAGTGTTGTTTCTCTATTTAATAAACTTTAAATTGCATACAACTACATAGAACATAGAACAAGTATTTATTAAAAGGTAATTTAGTATTTGCTATATTTGAAAATATTTTATTGTAGGGCCTATGTGACATTCTTATCTTTGTTATCTTTGTGTATAAATAGGTTTATTTAGGTATCATTAATTAATTCAATTCCTTTTCAATCATTAGCAGCCGTCATCTTTATCTCTCTCTTCTTCCTCAATTTCATCATCTTGCACCAATAAAATTGGTATCTAGAGCACTTGGTTCTTCTGAATTTTTGGGAAACACGAGTGAAAGTGAGCTGTGTGTTTGATTTTGGTTCTTGATTTCTGTTGAAACTTGAACAAAATCTAAACAGAATCGCACTGATTTTGTGGGTTTGGAAAACATTGAGTGAGATCTGAGATTTGTACAAGGTTTAAGATAAGTGGAGGCAGTAGTTTGAACACTAAACTTCTAGTTTTTGATGGCAAAAGATGGAACATATGGATGATACAGATGCGTGTGTTGTTTGGTGCTCAAGATGTTCTGGATCTTGTTACCAATGGTTATGTTCCAGTTGCAGCAGATGCTACTAAAGAACAAAGATTTGCAGAAAGAGATACGAGGAAGAGGGATCAGAAAGCTTTGTTCTATATCCATCAGTGTGTATATGAAAGTGTGTTTGAGAAGATTGTTGATTCGACGACGTCGAAAGAGGCATGTGATATACTGGTCAGATGTTACGGTGGTGATGCATCAGTAAAGAAGGTGAAGCTTCAGTCCCTGCAAAAGCAATATGAGAATCTCAACATGAAGAACAGTGAGAAAGTTTCTGAATACATCTCCAGAATGATTCTGATCACTAATGAGATGAAAGCTTGTGGAGAAACACTTTCTGAACAGGTAATCATAAAGAAGATTCTGAGGTCGCTTACTCCTCAGTTTGATTATATTGTTGTTTCTATTCAACATTCTAAAAATCTAGAAACCATGAGAATAGAGTTGCAAAGCAGTTTAGAAGCGCAAGAGTTGCGTCTGACTGAAAGAACTTCTGAGAGGGAAGTTGAGCAAGCTTTGAAGGCTTCTTTTGTCAAGAAAGACCAGAAGCATAATAGACGTGGTGATAAATTTCAGAAGTCAGAAACCTTAACTTCCGATGAAAAGAAATATTAGAAGGGAAAGGAAATGTATGACAAGAAGAAGGTTCAATGTTACTGTTGTAAACAGTTTGGCCATTTTGCCAAAGATTATAGAAATAAAGGAAGGAAATCAGAAGAATTAAATATAGTTAGAGGAGATTCTGATGATAAACCTGTGCTACTGATGGCTTCTGATTCTAATGGAAAGTGTTCAGAAGATTGGTGGTATATGGACACTGACTGTTCAAACCACTTGACTGGAAATAAACAATGGTTGATAGACTTTAACTCTAGAAAGAGAACAAAGATCAAATGCGCCGATGATAAGTATCTTAATGCAGAAGGTATGGAAAATGTTAGAGTCAGAGTGAAGAATGGAAAAAATATTCTGATCAAAGATGTTTGGTATGTTCCTGGAATTAAAAGCAATCTGATGAGTGTGGATCAGCTCATTGAGAAAGGTCTCTCAGTGGTTGTGAAGGACAACCTCTTGATGTTATATGATTACAATCACAAGTTGATTATGAAGTATGAGCAGGAAAGCAACATAACATTCAAGGTGAATGTAGAAACAACTGAAGTAAGTGTCTTAGTGCAGAAGGCGCTGAAGGTGACAGTAAGTTGTGGCACAAGAGATTGGGGCACTTGAACTATAAAAGCTTAGGGCATCTAAGTTCTAAGAAGCTTGTACATGACATTTAGAAGATTGTGAAGCCTGAGAAGTCATGTGAGATATGCATGAAAGACAAGCAACCCAGATTGCGATTTGCATTAAAAGTAGTCCCCAGAGCAAAGAATGCTTTGGGAGTAGTATATTCTGATGTGTGTGGACCATTTCCAGTATCTTCACTTGGAGGAAACAAATATTTTGTATATTTTATGGATGAGTTCACAAGAATGACTTGGGTAACACTCATCAAATTCAAGCATGAAGTGTTTACTGAGTTTCAGAAGTTCAAGGTGAAGGCTGAGAAATAGAGTGGTCAGAATTTAAAGATTCTGAGAACGAATGGTGGAGGTGAGTATAACTTTACAAAGTTCCAGAAGTTCTATGAGGAGAATGGAATAGAACATGAGGTTACTGCTCCATATACTCCTCATCACAATGGTCTTGCTGAAAGAAGAAATAAAACTTTGCGTGATATGTTCAGAAGTATGTTGAAAGAGAAGAAGCTACCTCACATGTTATAGGGAGAAGTTGTTGCCACATCAGCATATGTTCTGAATAGGTGTCCAACGAAGAAGCTGGAGGAAATTGTTCCTTTAGAAAAGTGGACTGGAGATAAGCAAAGTGGACTGGAGATAAGCAAAATGTTAGCCATCTGAGAATGTTTGGTTCTGTATGTTACAAACACGTTCTAGAAGCTAGAAGACGGAAAATGGATGATAGGAGCAACTAATTTTACTGGTGGGGTACCACAGTACAAGTGCTTATAAGCTTTATTGTCCAGAAACTAACAAAGTTGAAATCAGCAGAGACGTTATTGTGAAAGAGTCAGAAATATGGGATTGAAACAAGTCTCAATCAGATTCTGGTGTAGTGTTAACACCAGAGTTAGTTTCTGAAGATTCTTCAGGAAGTTCTGAAGACGAGTCAGAGTCAGAAGATGAATATGATTCTGAAGACTCTGAAGAGAAGTCAAAATCTCAGAGAGATTCTGATAGTGGATCTGATTTTGATCCAGATTTTGATGATGATCCAGAATTTGGTGGTGATTATATTTCTGGAAGGGAAAACTCTGAAGACATAGGGTCTGGAGGACAAGCTTCCAGAAGTAGCTCTGAAGGTGGTAATTCTGAAGGAAGTAGTTCTGGACAAGGTCCAAAAGCTAGCACTGTTCCAAGTTCTGGAGAAGCTTCAGAACAAGTTCAGAGGCCACAAAGAATCGAACA